TTGGGTCTGTACTGGTAAATCATCCTTCTCGTTGAAACGAGAATCGCGACCGCACCGTGATCGGTACTGCCCTGACCGCACGAATGTAGTCCGGCTGAACTCCAACTCAGATTCACAACAATTCCACAAATTTAGGACTTCACACGTTGGAACGCGCGCGCAATGTTGGCCGGATAAATGTATTCTTATCTTGGCGGCAACACCAGCGCATAAGCGAACTGTGTTCCTGGCGGAACGTCGTACAAGCCATAGCGCCATTTGGCGCCTCGGGTCTCACCAGGGTCCCGGCCGCAGATTGTTAGTCCCGGCCGCATGAGTACTATACGGCTTCAACCCGATGGAATTGTTTATGCATCGGCATCAGTTGTCTCCCACCAACATGCCTCGGGTTTTGTCGCATACGAGATGGCAGTCGCAACCATAAGTATGGCCCGGGGCAGAGTAGAGCCGCTACTTTTCCCCACCCTCATCGCTCTGAACCCCCACTATGCCGCGCGTGGTGATTCCTGGTATTGACGTTGCGCTTCTGTGAGCCCTATTTTCTGTCCTCTCCTTCCTCATCTAATCGCGTAATCACACAGCACAGGCCCCTTGGTGCTTGGCTACATGTGGAGCTATTGCTTGTGAGGATCCCTACAAATATTGTCCGGACGACTAAAACACTCTCGAAGATACGGCATTCTTGTTGTTCAACTCTGTGAGTATAGAGCGTCGACGATATCACTCAAGTATCGATTAAACAAAATTTCGAAGATATGTATACCGAGGCATACCCTCGAGACCGCGCCGGAATTAAGGCAGTTGGTCAGTTCAACTTTCTTGCAAACTCGTAGCAGGAACTGAATGTACGGCACAGTCTGGGGGATGTTCATTTTAGAGGTGCGTCACGTACAATGAATCTACGGCACCGTCCAGTTGATATCTACTCTGCAGACGGTGTTTACGCTGTTTATAACTATTGGTGGGCATGAACGGCTGTGAGACGCGGACACTGTGCTGATTATTATTTATAGCTGCATGGAATCAGTATGGACTCGGTCTGTCCTTGCTCCCTCTCTCTACTTTGAATGTCTAACGGGACTACTTAGGTTGGGGCGACACCGATACCCTTGGTGCGGATCTATTTCTTTTGTCCATGGTTCACCAACCTCACGCCGTTCAGTTATCATTGATTGGTCCTGGGTGCGCGTGAAAACGTCTAAGCTGAATGGCCTTACCGAAGATAATTTATAGGAGCCGCTTCCGGCACTGAATGGTGTTTGTGAGTGTACAACCAAAACGAACCTCTGGAGAAAAATTAAGGAGGGCCTCAAAAGTGGCGGGCATGGCTCAAATGTTCTACACGTGGCGTATATGGAGCTTAACGAAACAGCTATGGGTTCCGACAATTATTACACTGGTGCGTAGTCCTTGAACACAACGGGTAGCATGACGAGCTTAACCTCAATAATACCAGGTGGTGCTCACACAGGTCACCGTGGCTTTTTATTATGGCATAGTCGTACGTCCATTAACTGGTCTCATATCCCGGCGATCTCACTGTATCCAGGTCTCGGTTGAAGGGCGCGGTGTCGACAAATTGTTCGCTCTTACCCCAGAAATCACGGTGAGCAGGACCATCCTTTTATCTGGAAGTCAGGGTCTGATTCGTTTCATGAAAGCTCTGGTTGGCGTCGACGGCTGCTGCTGATTTGCTTATCACGCTTTCGCTCGTTTGGATCGTGCGTCCTTCCCCTGGATCGCTCTGCCTTCGACTAAAATGATCCGCAGTTTTCTCGTCAAAAACAACGCACCAACTTTGATCGAACTTCCGGTATTATCAATAGGTTAATTCGGTACAGCGTGGAGACCGGAGCCATTACGAGTCTTGGTGAGTCCAAATCCAGAGGCTCAATTCACTCGGTTCCTCATTAGCCTTACGTCCCCAAAGGTGCAATCATCGAAGTCACCCTCTGGTAAGCCCGTTGTCTCACACTGATGTATTTAACGGCCGACCACCTGCATAGGCTGACCAGCCACCAATGGAACATCCACTTCATCTTGTAAACCACATCATTGTTTCCCGAAACCTCAGTCTAACGTTGATGTTGAACAGCTTCTTAGTCCTCGGAAAACTGTAAACACATATTTCGCCTCAACTGGCCGACTAACCAAGTATATATATAGGTATGCCAATATGCTCATGACAACACTCAATGCACGAGCCCCTATGCTCCGCGGTGAAATGTCAGCAACCGGCTCCGTCCCCCCGAACTCCTTCTGGGCCGACACACACAATTCACCCCCTGGGACAAATCTCAATCTGAACACTCGAGTGCACATCTCTCAGACAGTCGATGTGGATAAGGATGTCGATCCCATTGCGATGGATGTCAGTCATTCTGTTCAACAGTCGTAGACGAAAGCTCACGTTTAAATTACTACAGGACTTCAGTTTGACAGGCATACCCGCGAGGGGAGAGCACAAACCGGACTGGTAGAAACAGATTCTTTTTTATTTTGGGTAAATTGGGGTTCTTTCGCTGTTGTTGTGTTATTGTTACCACTCCCTTCGCTTCGAGTCGGAAACTTTAGGAAGTTCTGATTGGTTTGATAGAATAGAGTAGATCTTAGGATGCTACATAGTCAAGGGTGGTCCAGTCAAAAGACACCTGTGTTTATTTGCTCGCTCAGCCTCGATACCTTAAAATATATTGGAAAATATGGGAACAAGACCATCTGACGGAGTAGTATGGTCACGTAATTAAATCGCCACGCTGAAGCGTAATTGCAGACTGCTGGAGTCCCCCCGCCCTGTAAAATTAAATACGCATCAGACCCATTCCCACGGTTCAAAACTCGGCCCGGTCCTGATGCGATCAGAGTCTTTAGGCTCGACTTATACGTTTGCGCCACTCTCTTGCGCTGTGCTGAGGGTGAAAGCCGACAGCGTGCATTCCAATCGCAAGAGGGGTCTGAGTCTTGAGATGCGGTGATCCTCAAACTCTGTACACAATTCCTGCCTTACAGTAAACGCGGCTACACTCCAAGCATTCCGGTTTGATCCCTGCCTGATTCTAAGCCTGCGTGGATCAGCTCACCGCATTCAGTGCCACAATAGCAATCAGGTCTCTGTAGCCCAACGGGAGATCGCCTTGGATTATATTGTGTTGAGGCTCATATAAGGAGATGTGGGCTCGGATGCCACCGGAGGGGTGAGTGAACTGAACATGGACTTTTTCCCTCCCCTCGTCGTGGTCTGTCCTTGACAATCCTTCCTTCGGCCGCCGTAAACAAAAAATCAAGTTGAACGCAATTCCATGGTCCCGAGTCAAAGGAGCTTCAGAACTTCTATATACCAGCTGATATTCACAGCACTTACAATCACACCTCTGTACTATTAGTGACTAGGAAGCTGGCCACACTAGGAAGCTGGCCATAGGGCAGATATAGGACTCTAGAGTGTGTAATATCTTCCTTTCCTATTTCCACAATAGAATATGAACCATTGCGCACCTTAAGACCAAATTTCAACCCAAAGTGATAAGTTGATCCAAAGCTGTGCCCGGATTGATTGCGGTCCGGAGGGTGAGAACACCCTTTTGATAACCCCGACCGACCGTTTCGCTTGTTTCTCAACCAATACGCAGTGGATCCGGGACTTTGGGGGCTTGTTATTTTGATTTGATGCGGGATTCCCTTGTAAGCATACAGGACCTGGCAGTTACCTTGCTCTGCATCCCCAAATTCACCAACACACCGGGAACAGGAATTCAACATTTGCAAACTGAAATTCGAGATAGCAATGCAGTCTTGCAGGGTACGATTCCGAGGCCTTGTAGTATCCATACTAATGTCTTAACCTTCCATATCCTCAATAGTGCGACACCTGAATGCTTCTTCATCCCTCCTGATACGCACTTCAACAGAAAATTACCTGTTTGGCCCCCAAAAAAAGATTAAACGTCGGGTTCTCGACAGAATACCTCCAAGCTAGAGGTATGTGTCCAGGTTGGTCCATTAGGTTCCAATAGACCTGCTTGTGAGTTATTTTGGCTTCAAGTCTGTTACCACTCACGTACCAACCCAATTTAGGATGAAAGTGCAGATCCCGCCACCAAGGCCTGTATAAAATGTCGCCGCTACGCCACTTCTGCATGGTCGAATGTATGCCAGAAGTACCCAAAATGCGTTATATGGATCCCATATACACTGCACACAATGGTCCGGCCCCTCATTCTTCATGACCAATGAGCTTTCAAGGGTGGCCAGGTTCCATGTCAAGTGCCTGTTCGGGAAATCCTTGAAAACGAAATTCGCTTAGCACGCAATGAACCGAATTATCCAATCGCAGATTTCGCAATCCGCGCCTATTCTAGGGTCCACAAACCTGGCAGAAGCTCCCGGGTACATCAGTATTAGGCCCAAATGCCTTAGGTGGCCAGGTTCCCGGCGGGATATAGTAGATCAATCGGAAATCACTTCGAACAGTGCCATTTTCGAAGAGATGCGAGTTCGATCCCTGCCTGAGGTTTGAACCTGCACTGTCGATTCTTTTGATTTCGAAGGTCCGAGTCCGAACTCGTGAGGTTGTTGAAAGCCGAAGTAAAGACAGGCGTATGCAGTTTGGCTCGCGCTGGGTGAACTTGCAATTTAAATCCTCGACAGTCCACCGAATCCAGCCCCTCTTCTCTCATTCTCGTTGATTGACTTACCGGTATATTAGCACAGTTTGACGGAGAAACGAGGCGCCTTGAGAGGGAATCTTCTCAAATCGAACCGTGAGAACATCCTCGGGAATCACGCTTGGTTCAAGCATCCATCCATCCGGGGACCGTCAATTAAGCGACTTCCCTTGGGACTGGTTCCAGTCTACCAGTCTTCAATTATTCATTCCATTGGCGTACTGCTACCGTCTGCAGCTTAAACACAATGAAATATCAATATAATCACTCACAACCCTGCCTCTTCCTCTTCAGATCCAGTACACACTTAGATCGAATATCCCCAACAGCACTCAAGCCTCTGTGGATCAACGTGAGATCACCTCAGATCATTAATGCGCCATCCAAGAGGTTTACTGAGTAGATGTGGGTTCGAATCCCACCAGGGGCATATACGCTGCAGGTTACGATCTTTTTCTTTTGTTTCTCTTTGGTATTTGTTTGACTCTACCTTTCTGTTCGTTCGTGAGGCACGCTGCGCGCCTCAAACCTTAAAGCTTGATTTGAGATCATGCACCAAACAGTTACAGTGGGACTGTGGGAGACACTTTTTCGGTTAAATCGAACCGTGACAACATCCCTGGGGAATTGCCACCGTTGCCTGGTTCCAGCATGCATTGGCATTGGTTGGGCATCAGTCAGGCTAGTCTCACGCACCTGGTGAACGCTCAGTTTTCCTTCGAATCTGGCGGCATACCGACGTGTCTGAACAATGCTGCCGCCGTTTAAACATCATAAAAACACAATCTGACTGATTTCTTCCTGCGGCAGATCTGGTAACTCCATACTTAGATCGACATTCACAATAGCATTCAAGTCTTTGTAGATCAACAGGAGCTCATCTCGAATGATTGAACACGAGATTACTTTCTTGAGGAGATATGGGTTCGAATACCAGCGCAGGCATGTACACCCTGGACCGGAGACATTTTTTGTTTACCCTCCCCTGGCGCTGTTGGCTGTCTTCGACTTCTTTCGTCCGGCGCGCCGCTCACCGTTGTTCGAAAGGTATAGGATCAAGTGGACCTGAATTTCGTGGTCCTAACTTGACCTGAGCCCAAACGTTCCAAGAAGTATTTGCAACTTGTCAATACATTGATAACTCCCGGGACCTCTAGTACATACAGCGTCCATTTGTGTTACAAGAGACGAGATGAACCCAGGCCAAAAGCCGATTTATCGGGTTGAACCGTGGGAATCAGACGGGAGAGTCTCACCACGGTGGAACATCGGAGTTTTGATTTGGATACAGTGTGCGGGAGGGCGTCGTCTCACGCCCGCCGCTATGTAAAGCCTCTAATTTCCTCTGCCTTTGTTACACCATCGTAGTTGACAGTGCCGTACCTTCTCCTTCCTCGACCCGAGGAGAACTTCCTCGGAGATGCACTCGGCAATACATCGAATGTGAGCGCGCAGTTGACCCGCAGCAGCCCGCAGCGGAGGATATTGGTAAAATGCAACAACGCCGTCAGCGCCAATGACACCCGCAAAGGATGAGTCAGCGGATCTAATCTGATCACTTGCGTGGCCATCGCCGTCGCGGCTCTACCACCATCTAAAAACCAGCTCGCCTCTTGCCATGACATTGACACCCACAAACACCCTTATTCTTTCTACTAATGAGTGGTCTCCGGAGATTACGCGCCTGGGCGTTCGGCCACGAGCTCAATCCCGACAACATCCGCGCGCAACTCGAGGCGGGCGCCGTCCCCGTGTCGTACGCCGACTGCAGGACGTGTGCGGATCCGTGCGAGGATGGTGGGTAACCTCGGGTTTTTCCATATTTTTATGCCAGAGGGATAACGGAGATGCAGGACACGAGGAATACCCTGGGCGCTTCACGGTCGATATGGAGACGCAGATGCTGGGCTCAGTGGACTCGTTCCGGCGCCAGGTGCGTACTTGATACTCTGAACTCAACTAAGCTGATCAACGCAACGCGCCCCAGATATTCATCTCTACCGGAGCCATGGACTGGGACGTTGAGATTACATGGAGCCGCCAGTCCCTCGCTGCACATGTCACCGCCTCCCTCCAGAGAACCGCCCCAATCCCCTCAACTACCACCGCCGACGCCAAGATCCCTCAAATTCACGGGATATTCAACGCCTCGGAGTCTGGTGTCGTTTCCGTGTTGAACGCACACTACAAGTCGATTGCGGATGACGACGACCTGCAAACCGTGCTGGTTTTCCCCGACTTCATGATTGTGTCGGGCGTGCCCTCAACGCGCGAGGGCGCACGCGAGTTGTGGCAAACGGTACTTGATCCACACATCCCGCGCGTCCTGGGCTCGAGCGCAGAAGAGTCCGGCTTCAGTACTTGGGTTCTACCCTATTCGTGTGTGATTACCTTTTGTGAGGACGTTTGGGTTTCCCAACGTTAACATTCACTAATGACACTGCAACGTAGGTTCGCATAAGCGCCGGGACAAGCGCTGTGGGATCTCAGCACCCAAGCTCGAGATTGGTGCGTGCGTCCATCACGCGCTGTTTTCTTTTCAACCATCCGATTGCCGGGAAATTCACCAGTCACCTCTAGCATTCACGAACGCCCTCCAAGCCCGCAACTGGACCGTCCATAACCAACTAGACTATATCGACGATCCGCCGCTCGAAAAATTTAAGGGAACCGAGGAGGACAAGAACGCCTTCGTTCTAGAGCGATTGAAAGGCCTCCGAGAAGAGAAGACTGCGCTCATCTTACACAATTCGCACATGGGCGGGCACGCGTATGCGGGGAACTGTATCGTAAGTCCCTCCGGTTGCGGATTTTTGGTGGGTAAAATGGAACCTTCGTCAGATATACACCCCGAACGGCGCCTCCATCTGGTATGGCCGTGTCACCCCACACGAGGCGGAATCCATCGTCGTCGAAACCATCGAAGGCGGTCTGCTATTGCCCAAGCTCCTGCGTGGGGGGATGGGGCTGTCAAAGTCGGGATGCAAGACGGTGCATGATTGGTAGAGTAGATTGGGCGCGGGGCTAGCGCGTTTGGATTTAATATGTACGGTTTCAATATACTTTAATACCTTTGAATCTTGATTAGACTCCAATTTGGTGGAACTTTGTTGGCGTGGTAATGTGTATATGCGAAGGGCTCTTCAGAGTCCAGCCCAGTTTCAACCTCAATTCGCATGCCGTTTCGTTTCGAACCGTGGGAAGGGAATGCCGAGCTTGAGAGGGAGAGCTGATTCTGTCCACGCGCATGGTAAAGAAACTTAGAGTAACTTTGAGCACCGCAACTTTGTATTGGGGGGGCGGCATTTGATAGCGACAAAGACTAAATCGGCAACTTGCTCGACGCATCGTTTCTCTTGGGCCTTGGTTTATCGTGTTTCTTATGCCATTCCGATTGAGCTCTAGATTGAATAGAGCTCCTAAGCTATTAACAAAAGGGTAAGTAAAATCAAGAGAGAGAAGCGAAGAAAAAAATCATCAGAAACTTGAATGCCTCCGGTGGGATTCGAACCCACATCTCCCCAAGACTGTGTCCATATGATCAATACTTCAAAGCGATCTTGCGTTGATCCACAGAGGCTTGGGTGCCGCTGCGAATGTTTGATACAGGCATGTAGCCAATCTGAAAAGAGGAAGCGGGTGGACATTTTGAGGATGTGTTGTTGCATGATTCACTGCACGCAAGCGATGTGGGGTAAACTCGCAGATGCCGACTCCAATTAAGCAGTCCCAAGGGCGCAAGAGACCAAGGGTTGTTGACCTATTATAACAATCTCGAACGAACGGACACTGATCTCGTAACCGAACGCCGGTAACGTATCTCGACCGCGACGGAGAATTTGCCGATACATTGTGGAGGGAAAAGTGGGGGACAAAGAACAGTTGGGAGGTGTGGCGAGAAATTGGCAAAGAACATTATGTGAAGTTGAAAGGATAGTCATGAAGAATTGATTCTATGTCCGCAAATTCAATCTAGTAGTTTCTATCATACTCATCCATGTACTCGTGGTTATCATTGGGTGAATAAAAGTACCGAAATATCGTCACCGCCTCAACTTGAGACCATCCCCCCCAGGCTGCAACCATGTCTGCCCACCACTTCTTAATTTTGATTCGGTATTGGCAACCCCCGTGGCGGAATGAGTGGGTTCCGTAAAGTGCCCAGGACGCATACCCGAGGCTTTGGTGGTCCTTCGAAAGCGCCTGACTTAAAACACCGGCCGTCTAGTCATCCAATCAGTGCTGTGTTCAAAACAAACAATATTATAATTAATTACCAGCGGCTGTCTCTGCATTACTGCGCCTCCCGCTGAAACATGAAGGAAGAGCGGCCCCGACTTCTTGATATTGCGATGTAGAAGTATGGGTTGTTCCTCTAAGGGAATAGTGAGGTGCCTGGTCGTGCTGGGTGGTGTGGAAGTGAGTGCAGTAAAATATGCCGAAGCCCGGACAAGAAAACTGGAGGAAGAGTAGTCAAGAATATAAGATACTAATGTGAGAACTCAGCTCGGAGGCTATAGATATTGAGGATCACACAGAGAGGTGGCTCAGAAAAGAGATTGTGGTGGCGGGAAGCAAGAGGCGAACCCCTGTACAGGACAGCGGTAGCTACTTAAATACGATCGGTTAACGATCCAAATATATATAAAGTGTCCGTGCAAAGGTGTGCCTCCGCTAGAGCGAAACCCTCGTCGTCGAACCAACCGGGAGCTACACAAATACGGAATAGGGAGAGCACGTTACGCCGCTCAACGGTGACTTGTGGGTGCCCAGGCCAAAGTCGGCTCAATCCCCGGCGTAGTCCGAGATGGCCGAAGACTTGGATATCCGCTCGTCGCGTTGGCGTACGTAGGTGAAGAGAAAATGTCTGTGACGAGAGGAGATATGAGTAAAGAAATGAGGGTACAGGAGTAAGTATGAGATGAGGAACATATCAATGGGGAACTGATATTTCTTGCCATCGTTGGAGACTCGATGCTGGAGTATTGGAACGAGAATGGAGAGGGATGAGCAACACTCGGGGAAATCGAGGATGTCGGAGATAGGAATATGAGTTGCGCGTCTCAATTTGATGGATGAGAACGATGTCGCGCGCGGAATAAAACTCGACGCGGTCATGTGATTGTGATTAGCTGAACCGCGGAATATCCGAAAGGGAATGTGGCGATGTGGGAGCCATATGGCACTTCCACAGCGACCATAGAGCGAGGCCAACAGAATGAAGGCACACACTGGGCATATTTTCGGGTCATCATCATTGGCGTGCAATTTCCAAGCGTGAAGGACTCCAGTTTGATTCTGCTTGCGAGTGGTCAGAGTGATATTGATGAATTTCCCTGAAGAAAATGAGTCGTCATGTCCCTGTGATGCATTCAATGAAACTCAACTCTCTCCAGGAATTTTATCGATGTTCTCAAACTTGAGTTTGAT